GTTGGGCTGAATTTAGTTCTGAATCAAAGCAGTTACAAAGCAGTATCACAGGAACTCTCAGGAACATCTTTCACTCCCAAATGTATGCTATCCTGGCAACTCCTGAGCTACACTTGAGGCACAATAAGAAAATAACACTTTTAATGTATTAGGTGTAGCTGTTTGTTCACATATCACTTTGTAGTTGGGTCCTATCACTCTTGACAGCTCGTGCACAACCTCAGCACGAGACTGGGCACTGGCATTTTAGGCAGAGACAGCAAACTCTGGTATCTTAACTCTGAATTCTGCTGATTACACAGCAGGATCACCTGGGAGTAACAATGACCACAACCAGGTTTATGGTCATCAAACCATCCATTTACTCACTCAACTCGAGTATACGGTATTACTAGGAGGGTGACTTGTCATCAAGACCGTAACAATTTCCAGTTGACTTTGGCTTGTGTTTCCATAGCTGAGAATTAAAAAACACTCCCATGGAAGATGCAGAAAGCCACGGATACTCTGCGATCAGTGGGACAAAATACAGGAACACAAACAAGTTTTTATGGATGGTGTGGAAAATGGTAATCATTGATTGATATCCCTTGGGAGGATATCTGCGTGGCATCCTTCAGGAAGGGCTGTCTGTATCATCAGCTCCAGGGATCAGCACAGCAAAACCCCGAGCACAGAGCGATTCAGCTTTACGTGTCTCTGCAAATCCACGTCTCGGCGTGGGCAGTGTGGCCCGATCGCTCGAGGAAGGATGACACAACCCAGCGCATCCTCTGATACATGGTTCTGGCAACACGTGCCAATTGCCAGGGGCCCTGGAAGGATTTTTTTTTTAATCACACAGTAACACACCTAATCCTGGACCAGAACATTAATAAGTGTGACTCTTAAACTGGGTTTTGATGAGTCGAATGTTTACACTTACATCAAGAGAGCAGAGTGAGCCTGTCGTTCCACCTCCTGTCTGGGCCGGGATTAAGGACGCACTCCCGTTTCCAGATCCCGTCGGGCTGGCTATTTAAAATTCAGCATTTTCCATTCTTTCCACTAACCCCGCTTCTGTTGCCTGAAGATGCCGAAGCAGCGTTTGCAGTCACTCTGCCAGCAGAGCCCTGGGAACAGGAACTCCCAGCCACAGGTCACTAAGGCAGTCACGTCCTGAAACAACAGCAGCTATTTGTGAAACGGATGTGTGCCAGGAGCCGGCGAGGTGCTAACACAGCACGGACGACAACCATAACGCTGCCTCACGCTTCACCACACGTGGCAAAACAAGCGGAGGCAATCGAGGGGGAGCATCTCCCCCAGAACGTGGGAAAGAGCCTGTGTGTGAAGAGACGCCATGACCACACGTACACGTGCGCTTCGGAAGCCGCTGGAGCAGGAAAGCTGTGCTGAGCTGCAGGCGACAGGTCCAGGCTGAGAAACGAAGAACAAATTCATTTCCAGAGTCTCCTCCGCCGAGGCGGAGCGGAGCGGAACCCCTCCGCGGGCCACGGCTCGGGCGGCTCTAGAGGCACTCGGAGGCAGAAGCGGGTGGGATCCCACGGGTGTGCACAGCAGAGTCCTTGCATGGGGCAGGATGAGTTGGCTGGTTGTCTTTTGCAGTCAGATGTTTTGCTAAAGCCACAGGGATTTTTCTGGTTTTGTTTTTCTTTTTAATGCAGGAAGGGATTATCTGCTAACTCATCCATTTCCCACCCCAGGCCTGGAGGTCAGCTGCAAAGGGAAGTTGGTGGTTGAGGAGAGATGCGTAAAGTTTTATCTCAATTTTCTACCCATTTCTACGTCCCTCAGGTAACTTGAATTTTCTTCTTCCCTTTCCTTCCCAGAAAAATGAAAGGAAAAGAGAAAAGCCTCTCTGGAAAACCCAGTACAAGACAAATGTCACATCCAAGAAAGCAACTCCCCCAGACCTCTACAGCTGAGTGAATATTCCCTGCAGGCACCAGAGCACACGGCTGGGGGCTGCTCCCAGCATGTGAGCCAGGCTGAGGAGCAGCAGACTGGACAGCTGATGCACTTGCCGCCCACCCTCCTCCTCTCCTGGAGGTCACAGTCCCAGCTGAGGCCATGGTGCAACCAGCAGACTCTCTGCTGATGTCCACCAGGACAGACACGGGTTTGAGGTCGCATCCAATACTGCCTCACAGCAAGAGCAGCAGAAACTCCCATGTGTGGTTGGGGTGAACAGCCAGGGTTGGCACTCAATTTAGCCATTCCAGTTTAATCTGCTTCTCTCCAGGGTTAACCAAGTGCCCCCATTCCTCCAGCCCTTGTTAAAAGCAAATCCAGACCCCCCAGGAGCTGGGGTAGTGGTTCCCCGTGGTGGGGCTGAGCATAGTGGTGTGAAAGGGCTGCGGATCCTCTAAGAGAAGAGGCAGGGACGGGAGCTCGACCGCACCGTAAGCTGCTCGCTCCAGCTACCCTCACGAGGGGTGAGCTCCACCAAGCCAATTCCGACGGCAATCATGGAGAACAAACAGGTTTCAGGGCTTCGGACAGACGCACCCCAAGAGCAGGGAGCTGAAGGCTGGAAGAAGCAGGGAGAAGTGGAACGACAAATTGTCCTGCGTGCTCAGCAGCCGCAGCTCCCCCAGGCAGAGCGCCGGGCGGGCGAGCCATGCCCCGCGGGCACTGCCGAGGCCTGGCCTCAGCATCCCCCGGAGAAGATGCTGCAGAGGCACCCAGGGCACAAGGAACAGGTGCTCAGCCTCTGCGGAAGGGACGTCCTGGCTGTGACCGTGCCATGCACTGGCGGCGAGCGCACACCCAGAGGTCATCCTTTACAGGCTGGTCCAAGAGAGGAAGTTACCAGATCTATTTTTAACTCTGAAGTTCAAATAATGACTTTTTTTTATTTTTGCACCCTATCCTCTGCTGATCCCTTCCTTTCCCAGCAGCCACTAACAAAATTCAACCGGTTAAAAAGGGGAAGAAATTTGTTTTCCTCTTTCAGAAAGGGTTAACTTCAAGACACTATTCGCACAAAGGACTTTGAACGTCAAAACTCTATTGTCTTTCCAGTCACAGCTTTTAGAGTATTTCATCTCTTTAGTCAAATGAATGCTACAAAGGAAATAATATGCTCATGTCACAAACATCACAAACTATGAGGAATATAGATCTTTGGGAAAGAAATGCATTCATCGTTTGTCATCATACTGCGCCATAGCCAACCGCACCAGTAAGACAGTCCGTAACGCTCAGGCAAACATACATCCTCCTGTGGGAGTGAGCAGCTGTACAATCTGCCCTTCTGCTTGGCACCCCCAGTCCTCTGAGTGGTCAATGAGAATAGATATACAGTAGTTGTACAGAGACATCACTGCCGTGGGTACAGAAACGGGCCCTTTCGCAGCTAAATCAGATTTCCAATAGTTCCACGATGCTACATTCATGCTACCAAGTTCATCGAATTGGGATTTCACTTTAGAAAAGAGAAAGGAAGAACAGTGTGTCTGTCTCCAGTTAGGAGCAAAACCACCGGGGGTAAAAGGGTCAGAAAGGGAGAGAGTTTTGTGTCAGCGTTTTAATCCTGCCACTACCAATTCCTTCTCCAAACAACACATGACTTCGTGCTTTCATCGCACCTACAGCTCCCACCTCTCACCAGCACAGCTGGAGGAAGCTACCATGCTAAAATTGAGAATTGGCATAAGTTTTGCTTTCTTTCTTACCTCTGGCATTTTCTTCCAGAAGCTACAGACCGGTGCCTATTATCCCCTTCACTGCAAGTCTGGGAAACATGACCGAGTCAAGAGGACAGGCATCCAGCCAGGGCTGACATCCAGCTTCCAAACCTCCCCGAGGTCAGGCCAGCGCAGCAGGACAGCTTCCCAGCAGCTCCAAATCAGAGGGGGAGGCAACAGCCCAGACAAATTTGGTTCAATATGTTGCTTTCAATGACTTTAAGCCATCTCTCTCCATCTATTCCTCTCCTTACTGTATGTACATTATTTTTTCAAAAG